CTCTTCCTCCCGCCTCGTCAAGCCGAAGACGGAGCCAGGGCTCGTCGCCGTGAAGAGCGGACACGACGACTTGCCCGTCGCCGCCGACGAGGACGCGCTCAAGTGGGCGCGAGGACTATGTCAAACTGGAGATGGAACGGCAGCGCCGCACCCTCGAGGAGATTGCCGCAGCCGCGACACGCGCGGCGTCATCATTCTCGAGGACAGTGACGACGACGCACCACCGCCGCCAACCAAACCCGTCCGCCAAGGCAACGCAGGAAAGGGGTGCAGGAAGGACGGCGACAGCGTGAAGAAGGAGGCCGACGACGACTACAGCGCCTTCGGCGCATTGTTCGGCATGTAGGAGGGGCGGCGGAAGGCGGCGCAGTAGTTTTTAATTATGTTTTTAAGTTTTTATGGAAAAAAATCAATGAAATCGCCTCATATGTGTTGAATTTGGCTGAATTTTGTCGTGTTTGGCCGATTTTGGCCGAGTTTATTTTTCAAAAAGACGGCGCCTAGGTTGGCCTTGGGCGGCGGTTGGGAAACCGAACACCCAAAAATATTGCCGGCGCGCTTCAGACGGTGATATTTCAGGCACCCAGAGGTCGAACGGTTGAAGATGCTCCTACTGCTGTGCTCTTGCCGAAGCTTCAACCGAGAGGTCGCACGCACGGGTGACAGGGCCCGGGAGCCAATCGGCGGTGGCAGCTACGCGGCCGTATATATGTCTGTCTCCCGGATTGCAGCTTCGGGACCGGACTAGTATCATCATCTGGCGGTTGCAGTGCGGGCCGTCAAATTATGTCACCTCGCCCGTCTCCACTTGGCTGCATGGACAAGATGTTTCGTTTGGACTGCCCAGGCAGGCAGCGGTGACCTGCTGACGGTGAATAGTGCCGTGTCAATCGCGCTACACCTGGGTCAGCTGGTCGTGCTTGCATTGCGCACGCACCTGGCAGTCACCAACTCGCCATGACCAAAAGGAGATTTACAGCACCTTGCGGAAGCACGAAATTTATACAGTACTTCTTTTGGCTGTCTTTGCCGTGGTGGTAAACAAAACAAGCCATTTTTATTAGTGTTGTTAAATCTCAATCGACTGAGACTAGTTAAATTGATGCTATATTTATGGATTTTACATTGGGATTCATGCAAATTTTATTTTTCAGCTTTTCTTTCTATCGACAATTGCCTATCACTTGACTGGGATTCATATTTTAAACCAAAGGGGCTCCGGCCCCAACTTTTATAAAGCAGAGGCAAACAACCAGATCATACGTCATTCGTATAGCTCTCGGCCATAAGCAGTAGTTTGAGATCCCTGACGATCCCCTAATTGTCGTTACAGCTCTCGGCCTAGCTCACTTTGCTCCGCTCCGCTCCTTGACGATTCCCTTTTTCCAATCCGTCCAATCCCTAGCGCCGACGAGCATGTCAAGTACCGGCAGCCACTCCGACGACATCTCCGATGATGAGTGGGTTCTAGTGCCCACTCCGCCGGAGCAGCGTTCAATTCTAATGCCCGCTCCGTCGGCGCCGCGGATGCGAAATCCAGAATCAGAGGCACGCGCCAACCGCCGCGAGAGGCAGAGGGCAAGCGAGATGGGGGGTGGGTCCGACACGGTTGCGCAGTCCGCCTGCCCCACCGCGTGATGCCGGTGCCCGACGAGGAGGAGCGTCTCCTCCAATGGGTGTGTCGTAGCTCACTTACCACGGCGGAGGCGGACACCCGGCGACTCCGGAGGATCAACGCCAAGCAGCTCCCGCTTGGCATTGAGCAATCCGAGCGGGAGGCAGCGGCGGCGGCGGAGGCGGCGAGGGTGGCCAAGCTCAAGCGCAAGCAAGACCACATCGTCTGGCGCTTGCAAGACTACATCGTCATCTCCTCCTCCTCCTTCGACGGGTCTGACTCCGACGGCTCCAACGTCGACCCACCTCCTGTTTGCAGATGCCTACAGCAGCGCCACCGACCGGAAGGGCAAAGGGTCGGCGAGGAAGTGGTGAAGCTCGCCCTCTCCTTTTATATAATCTAGTTCTAGTATGTAGTTAGAGTGTGCCGGGTCGTTGAACTGTGTGAACTATGCCCGTTTAGTGATGTTTATGTGATTATGCCCATTTGTTATCGGTTTATATGTCCGTTTCCTGTCGATTTTGTTCGTTCAGTGATCTGCGTACTATGTTTGCATGAATTTGAGTGGATATAAGGAACTGGATATGAGATACGCGGGTGTGGAGGCACGGACTTAGGGAGTGCTCAGTCAGTGTCCCCGTACACACTGATGTTTGAGGGGTCGGATTTGCAAAGTCCGGCTGTAGACGCTCTTAATCTTTCAAATGATTTTTTTTGTTATGACAAAGTGTAAACAATTTGGAACAAACACGAGCAACAATTTTTCTCCCCGATACTAGGAGGTCAGGGCAAACTCTCCCGTACAGAGTTCATTGGCGAGTCCGTGGATTCTCCTCCCTTTGCCTGCCGCTCTGGCGGCCGGTGGCGGGAAGGGGAATCTCGGTGCCTGCGCTCCAGTTAGTAGTTTGGGTTAGGTTTTTTTAGTCCTGGCAGGTGCGGCGCTCAGGCGGGTGGTGACGCTTCTTCTTCGAGTTTGCTTACATGCTTCAATCCTCCTCAAGTTCGTTCATCTAGACATAGTCGAT